TCCCTCCTTCTTTTCCCTCCTCCTCTTCCCTCTCCTATCTCCCTTCTCCCCCCACCTTTCTCCTTTTAAAAACCCTTTTCCTTCCTTCCTCCCTCCTCTCCTATTCCCTGCTCCATTTTCAACTCATCTTTCTCTTCATCCCATCTCCATAACTTTCCCTCTATCCACAACTTCATATACCCCACCCTCACCTTTAACCCTTCCCTTCTCTTCACCTCCGCTTCCTCCCTTATTAACCATTCTATTCTTCTTTCTTTTTCCGTGAGATCATCCTTTATCCACTCGTTCCTCTCCCTCAGATTTCTCTTCCCTTTCATTACCTGAATCTTATCCCTTACGTTCTCGAATCTTACCATCACCATGTCCTAAAGTACACATATGTATAATTACTAAAATTCTTCTGAACCTTTTTGTGTTATAATTAATATCTAAAGTAGAATTATATAAATAGTTTTATCATTTCAAAATTTTACATTTATTAATATTGCTCTCAAGGTTCATATTTCTACTTAAATTAACTTTTTCAGTTGTACATCTTTATTATATTTAAATCAAATTCTATTTTGCTGCAAATCTGCTTTAACATTTTCAGTCATTATTTAGTTTCCTTTAAATTTATTCTTATAAGAAATTTTATAAGTATTTCTACAGAAAAAAATTAATATTCATAAAACATTTTTAGAAATGGTTAACATTATTAATAGAAGGACTTTACACACGGTTAGGCTTTGAGGATCGTGAGATCGACGACGATTTAACTAAAATGTTAAGAATACATACTCGCAAATGGGCCTGTAAATTAGATGTAGTAGATTGTAAATTTTACGCTGCAAAATATTTCCAACAGAAAAAACATTCAATTATGTATTTATTTATATCGTACTACCTCCAACGACGATGGCGGCGGCGGCGGCATTAGCGGTCCAATGAAAATCGGTTCTTTTTCTTAAGGGGATGCTGGAGTGATTCTGCACTTTTGCACCTTTCTAACTTAAAAACTGTCAGTTCGCGGAAACATTTGTGTAATATACAAATTAAATGGCTTACGTATACAGATCGAAAGTAGCTCGCTATTCTGGCCAAATGAAAGAACAATATGGCATCATTGAAACTAAGTTTGTAAGTCTAATAAGAAATAATAGCGAGCAACACACACATACAGTACCTGTGGTATGTGTTGCTCACTATTGATTTTTTTTAGTTACAAACTTAGTTTCAGTGATGCCATATTGTTCTTTAATTTAGCCGGAATAGCAACAAGCTGCTTTCGGTCTGTACACGTGAGCCATTTAATTTGTATATTACACAAATGTTTCCGCGAAACAGACAGTTTTAAGTGCAAAAAGTGCAGAATCACTCCAGCATCCTCTTAAAGGCCAATGTTCACGATGCTAGAACTTGGTCCAAGTTCTAGTTTCGAGAAATCTGTAGCCAATCAACGTACAGCTATTCCATAAAAGCTGCAAGTTGATTGGCTACACGTTTCCTGGAACTAGAACTTGGACCAAGTTCTAGCATCGTGGACACAAGCCAAGGGGTTAGCTCACCTTGAGCGGGTCGAAATCAGTGTAATTTTCATTTATTACATTTTTTTTATTTTATCCAATACAATTATTTAACAATAAAAGTTGATATTTCCCGTCCAGTAGCCTGGATGACCTTGGCCGCGTCCGTGTTCGCGTCCGCGTCCCCATCCTCGGCCTTCCCCTCTGCCCCTTCCGCCTTTCTGCCATCGAGCTGAAAAATATAAAATTAACTGTATTATATGAGCCTGTATATAAAACAAAATAAATAAATTATACTCATATTGATTATTATACTTACGTTTTGAGAATACTTCTCGCGACGATGTCGGCGGCGGCGGCTGCTGCGGCGGCGGCGGCAGCGTTAAGGTCGATCTACAATAAGGTTGTAAGCAGGTTTTAGCGCAGTAGCAGTGAATCGTAAGAGACCGACTTCCGGTGTAGTAGGTCGTAACAGTAGTTGTAAGCGAAATGAACCAAATCCATTTCTCACGGCGTACGACCTACGATCTACAGCGAATAGCGAGCAGTCAAGCACAGTAGCCATATTGAAATACGTCTATGACAGCGAGACGAAAACGACGAATGGTGATCGAAACATGTCGAACAAAGAGGAAGCCGGCGTTCAAGGTTATAATTTTTATATGGAGGTCGACGACGAGGTCGACGAAAATCTATTAGATCAGCGTGAGCTGATTTTGTTAGTAAAAAATAATCCGGCTCTGTACTCCAAAACAACAAAAGAGTATTGTGGCAAAGGGTTTGATAAGGATTTAGCGTGGCAGACAGTAGGATCGAGTCTCAAAAACCCCCAATCAGGTAGGCTAAAAATCGCAAAATGTATTTTTGTGACATATGAAGTTAGATTAGGTTAGATTAGATTAGTTTACGTTGTCCTGCAGATTCATATTTGTTTGATTTTTAGGACCAGAGGCTTATAAATTGTTTTATAATATTCGCCAACGCTTCGGCAGAGAAAGGCGAAAAGTACTAGTGTCACTAAAGGGGAAGTCAGGACAAGGAGCGATGGCACCATATGTACCCACATGGCCATTGTATGAGGAATGTATGTTTCTGGCAGACCATATTGTTGCACGCAAGTATGTGTTTTATTTTATGTGTATAGTACAGATATATTTGGACAAACTGGGTCATATTATGTTTTGATCTATTTTCCAGAACGTCAAGTAGCTACAGTACGAATGCTTTGCCAAAAAGTCAGACGGCTACAGTTGTGAGGCCCAATTTTGAAGCTGACAGAGCTTCACCTGTGTTTGCCCGACCCTCTCCCTCACCGTCGCCACCTGTATTCAGGTCAACTCCAGCCCGACCCTCCCCCTCCCCTTCGCCACCTGCAATTAGGTCAATTTTGTCACCTCAAACTTCAGAGTCGCTGTCGCCGTCTAGTATGTGGAGCAGTAATAATTATTTGTTTCTTGAAAGTACAAACAATTTTTTCGTAATACTGTGAAATGGAATTAACATCAATTACATGACGTGTAATTTTTTTCGCAGATGTTGAATCTGATGCTTCTAATAGTCAGAACTCAGCTGGGCAGTCACTTGCAAGTACAGAAGAAGGAGTTTCAGTTTCTTCAGATGTGAGCTCGGCGTCTGAATCTATTATATAGACCATAAAAACAGCAAAATTGAAAGGAAAACGCACTGTTCCCCCGCCTGACAATTTTAATGTAAAGAAGAAGAAAGAAGATGATGCTTTGGCTCAGGCAATTCTGAACCAAACAAGTGTTTTGTCCTCTATGACAGCTAAACTCGACAAGGATATAAGTATAGCTACCTCAGATAATGTTGCTAATCTTAGTAATATTAGTCCAATTATGAGTGCTGTTTCCTTTGCTTTACAATCTGTGCCCCGAGAGAGGCACCTTGAATGTATGATGGAAATATTAAAAATTATAACTGAAAAGTATGCCAAACAATGATTTTAATTAAGTTTTTGACATAATTATTATAATTAATGATATTGGAAATATTATTTGATTACGTTATGTTGCTTATGTCTGTATTATTTTGATATTGTGTTACTTATAAAAATATGAAAATGTGTTTATCCCTAATTATTGCTGTATTGAAAGGTTTTTGTTTTGAACTAAATATGAAATAACAAGTGCAGAGAAATAAAAGTTTTTAATATTTTAAATGTTTTAATATTTTTTATTTTAATTTACAAAAAATTTTTTATTCTTAGATTATTCCGGAAAGTTGATGTCTTTTCCCCTGAAGGCACAGATGTATTGCCAAGGTGCTTGTTCCTCTCCAATTGGAACAGAAATTAAACCTATCCCAAAGGTGATAGACCCCAGTTTGTACGTGGCGAGACCAGAAGACAATAATAGTATGGAAGAAGGCAACGTGTCCAAGTAGTTTCGATGCACTGTGGTAAAATGAAGCATCACACACGCTCAAAGAGTTTAATGTGTGTGTGTTAGTGTGTCAAAGAGTGAGTGTACTTGTAAATACAGCGTACTATGTATGAGTAATAATGAGCTGAGTGATTGAAGTGTCGCGCAGTGATGGCATCGATGACACAAAGTAATCTCGTAGATAATTTCTCATACCATTGGCAATATCTCCAGCTCGATTAGCCCCGACTCGGCCAAGCCTAGCGAAGTACGAAATGCAGTAATTCCTCCATTCCCCATCTGTGATAGTCCCATCCTCTGTTTCCACATCAATTATGTTTCTGGGGCAGTATTCTCTGTCATTCCAATTTCTTTCTTCTTCAGCCATCATAATAAAATTATGAAGGCAGGGAAGGGCTCTGAAGATATTTTCGCAGTTGGTAGGTGACATGCAGAGTGGTCTTTGTAGGATCTTCCACCGTGCAGTCAAAATTCCGAAAGCGTTTTCAATTACCCGCCGTGCTCGGGACAAACGGTAATTGAAAATTCTTTTTTCATCTGTTAACGTTTTCCTTGGATACGGCCGCATCATGTAAGTTGTGAGTGGAAATGCTTCATCTCCCACAAACACATAGGGGAAGGGCATTTCGCTTCCTGGAAGTGGGCTGGGATCAGGCAAGGGCACATCTCCGGATGATAAATCCTCTACAAAATCAGTGTTGGCCCATACCCCGCCATCACTTATGGAACCTAAAAAAAGAAAACTAAAACATTCCACTTGGCAATATCATTCTATAGCTACAGAAAATGCAGTGAAGATTAACACTTACCAAATTGTCCGACATCCACCCATGTAAACTTGTACTGTGCATCACACGCTGCCATCATAACCATGCTGAAGAACTGCTTGTAATTGAAGTAATTCGAGTCCGAATTCGAGGGTGCTTGAACCCTCATATGTCTGCCATCAATGGCCCTAAGCAATTGGGAAACTGCCAGGATATCATGAAGCCATTACTGATGGTCTTCCAGTCTTCCTTGCTGGGATTTTTCAAAACAAGAGGCTGAAGTATTATACGTTCCAAATCTCTCTGCAAGTTTCGTGTATTATTTTGTACACCGTGGATGTCCCAATTCTAAATTCCACGTGTTTCAGTTTGGCTGTGTCTCCTTGAGCTATATACCTACAAAGTTTATCACAGATGACATTAAAATATATTAAACAGAATCAAGCAGAAAACTGTACAAAACAACTCACAGCAATGTGACGGCAACACGAAGGTCTGTTGGTAGTGGTGTGCGTTTACTTCGCTTTTTAAGACGAGGATGAAGGAGCTCAACCAAAATACGAAACTGTTCAGGCGACATTCGGAACAACGTAAAAAATTCTTCGTGATCAGTTTCAAGTAGTTCCCTGACGAGGTTAGAGTAGAAACCTTGGGCGTCTCTCACACGATTTACCGGCCGTACCCACCACCGGCGACGATTCAACCTTCCCTTCCTTTTCAGCCAGACATATTCCAGCAGTAGCAAATTATTCCAATTTGCAAGATACAGCGACCACAGGTAGGCTTTTCTCACAGCCATCTCATTCCTCTTTCTTAACCTAAACCTAAACTCGAAAGCATAACAGCGCCGTTCTCAATTGATTGTAGATGAGCCTAGCCGTAGGAATCGTGTTACGGCTTGCGATCTTAAAACTTACTCACTACTGCTACTGCGCTACAACCTTATTGTAGTCCGACCTTTAGCGGTGGCTGCTGCGGAAGCGGCTGCAGCGTCGTCGCCGTTGTCGTCGGCGGCTGCGGCGACGTCGGCGGCGGCGGCGGCGGCGGCGGCGGCTGCAGATTCGCCGTCTTTGTCGGCGGTAGCGGAGGCGGCGGCGGCGGCGGCAGGAGTTGCTGTGGAGATGCTGAATTTACACCTTGTTGTTGTAAATTCAGCATCTCCACGTCCTCTACCGCATTTAACAATACACGGTCGAGGTTTCTGGAATCGGAAAGAATATAAATAATTATTTTTATTTAATGCCATTGATTTAACAACGTAGAAAAATTGCATGACGACCAATGGCTGGAAAATTCTAATTAAAGATATTCATTGCGAAAAATGGTTCACACCCTGGCTGAGGTAATATTTTTCGCATTGAATCGCAATTGGCAGTCATTAACCGTCATGCATTAGAAAAATATATATTTGTTGTACTTACGTGTCGTTCATCTCAAGGTCCATCTCTGTTTGACCATTTCGTCTTTTGTCCCGAGGTAACATAAGATACAGTGCCACACGCGACGCGACGCACCACGTGAGACTCGCGCGCCGTGCGATGTCCAATGAGCGTACAGCTTTTAGCCCGGGTCTATGATAGGTGTAGTAACTTTAAGTCGTAAGAAATTGACCAATCACAAGCAATTATTCTCGTCACTTCAGACTGTGATTGGTCAATAAATGTACGTGTCTCTTGATATCTACTACTATAGTAGAAATAACGTTCAAGAAACTGTAAATCCTTTAAGACATTACTTTTTAATTGTTCAATGTCGTAAGAATATATAATGAATCACGTATGTAGCGACACCAACTGTGTAATTATGTAGAGATTTACATGGTCGATAAAACTACATTATCTCTAGGGATTAACAAGGTCGATAATGTTGGTGGTGCATAATCGATTGTGATCTTTCATGACAGCTGTAATCAGTGGTCGTTGTCAATCGTTGTCAATGTAAAAATTGGTTATGGTTTGTGTTTCCATTTCATGGGTGGCCGTTTCGATTTCGTTGCGATATTTTGTGACACGGAAATTGAAATAGGTATTGTGGTAAGTCATCATAGATTGCATGTATTGTGTTATCATTTCATGCGTGACCGTTTCAATTTTGTCGTAGGATTGTGTGTCTTGGGTGACACGGAAAGTATTTATTATACCGTGTCTCGTGATTGTGTGTCTTGGGTGACACGGAAAGTATTTATTATAGCTATTTTGGTAAGTCATAAAAATTTGTCTGTTTTTGAAATAACATGTGGATTAAATCGTCAAATTTATCATTGTCACGTACGATATTCGATTTCCGCGATGTAATGTCAAAAGCAGGACCGGCAATAAAATCTAGTATGTTTTGATAACTTTTGACAAAATATATGTTTTATAGTCATATTTTTGCTAATTCTTAAAAAATGACGTGTTCATTATGCACTGATTAAAAGTGAAACAATAAATATGTGCTCGTTACATGCTCACCAGTACGGTAGTGTATCCAAGCTTTCTAATCTTTTAAAACGTGTTTGCTCCTTTTTAATTAATCTTAGAGGTGCTAATAAACGTTTCAATTTCTAATGTAATAACGAAATACCATACCCAGCAAACACAGTAATGTAACATATATGTATAAAATACATAATAGCAAGTATCACGAGGTAACGAGTTATGTAACAAGTAACATACATGTATGTTACCTGTACTACAGAATGTCAGCAACAAAAGTATGTCTCTGATATATTTAATATATGTAACAGAATACTTTAAATGTTATATTTATGATATGTAATCTTGCTAATATAGCGATATAACATGTATGTTTCACATATAAGATTTTAAGTTACTTGTACATTTCAAATACGTAACAAGTTTCCACTTGAATAGTTTAAAATTTTCCTTCTCTTTAAAAATTTTCCTTTTTTTCCCATTCTCTCTTTAATTTTTCTCGCATTTTTCTTCATATAAAAGGAATTTAGTTATCCTAGATTTTATTATTCGAAAGTTACTAATTAAGTCTAATTTTTTTTTCATAAAGAATTTTGGAAATGTATTCAAATTATTTATTTTACTCATTAGTTTTAATTATCCTTTGATGATTAAATAAGTGCTGTCTTAATTTAAACTTGTTGAAATTCGTGATACTTGTTGCAAAATCATTAAAAAAAAGGAGTTATTAAATATTTATGTTACTGAAGTCTTTTTTATATCATATATATTTTTTTCTTACAAAAAATTCCTTACAAAAAACTTAATCACATTAAAATTTTAACAAAACATTGCACACTCGCAATAATGCGATATTATATATACTTATTGTATTATGCTTACAAGAAAAATGAACAAAAACCAAATGCAGAGCTTAATGTACATCTGTATTGGTTTTTGTTAAAAATAAAAGCTAATATTTATCATAGAATTAAGAATAACACAAAATGCTATATAACTTGCAGTAAAATATTGAGTTTAAAAAAATACAAAATTAAGCAGGTACCAAAATTTTTTAAATCACGTTTTAAGAAAGAATAAATGAAATAGAAAGTATATATGTATACAG